CTGTAGAGTGCCTCGGAAGAGAGGAAGAAAGGCCTAAGTGAATGCCGGTCGGGCTACAGAGGGTTCATAAGGGGATAGCATGCCCCAGGAGCGTCCCCATGCCCCCTCTCCGCTCCGCGGGAGAAACACGGAGCTCTGCAGGGGATGGGAGGGGGGACAGAGCACAAATGGCCAACCTGGCAACAGACTCGGTCCAAGACCCCCAGCTCCCTCCCCAGGGAGCAGGACCCCGAGTCCCCATTTGGTCTGGGCTCAAACACCACCCGCCGGCCTTGCCCTCCTAAGATAAGAGGGGTTGCAGGTGGGCAGCCAAACAGAGACGGAGCAGAAGTCAGAGGCATCCGGCCCTTGGGCCTGCGAGCCCAGCTCTGCCCTCCAGCCATCAGCCCTGGGCCAGCCCTGGCCACTCACCGGCCCGCGAGTTGCCTCAGCTGTGTGCAGCATATATGTGCTTTGGGGCAGAGGCAGAGGTCTGTGGCTTACATCAGAGTCTCAGAAAGTTCACCCCGAAGTGCTAATAACTCCCGCTGGCATGTACCTCTAACACACATATGGCCCACGTGCCCGTTTGCAAACTGAAAACGGGTTATTGTTATTAGCTTGGCTTTCCAGTATTTCGGGCTGTTTGCCCTTCAACGCCTCAGCCCGAATCATTTCAATTCTGACGGGGATGTAAGGAGCCATACGGACCAGGCATTACAAATCCAAACTTTCGAATGCCAACGGAGGGCACAGGTCTGTGGAGGCCATATACAAATCAGCGTCCAGAGTGAGCATTTCACAGCTAAATGGGACAAGTCTTTAACCTGGCTGTATGTCCGAGGCAAGGTTCTCCGGAGAAACAGAACCAGTGGGATATACTTATACACACATGAGGCGGTTTCTCATACGGAATTGGCTCAGGCAGCTTTCGAGGCTGAGATGTCCCATGATGACCCACGTGCAGGCTGGAGATCCAGAAAAGTGGCTAGTGTGATTCTCGACCAAACCCAAAGGCCAACGCCCAGGAGTGTCCCAGCTCAAGCAGAGAGAGCAAATTCTCCTTCCCTCTGCCTTTTTAGTTTCTTCATGCGCTCAGTGGGCTGACTGAGCCCCCTGACATCGGGGAGGGAAATCTGCTGCTCTGAGTCGCTGGATTCAAATGCTAACCTTATCCACAGACACACCCAGAGTAATGTTTAACCAAATCTCTGGCTTATCTTATGAAGTTATTCATCACTCTGTCATGTGACTAGAATCATAATTTCCTTTTCTAACGGGGAGATCCCTCTATAACGTATTCTTCAAGACGGCCATCTCTCTTTCCCTCTGCTTTCTGAGAAAAGAGGCACCAGCAGGCCTGGAAAGGCCCAGCTAATGTTCCTGGGAAACAGACCAACCCCTCCACCTACTCACCGCGGACGCTGCTCGCATGACTGGGGCTTCCTGTTACCCTAACTGCGCTGCAAGTATGGGGAAGTCTCCATTGGCCAACCTGCACCCGTGTTCCATGAAGGAAATAAAGTTATTCAGTGAGAGGCTCCACGTTACTAATGGAGATGCCCAGAGGGTCAAAACTCTGAACAGCCACAGACTTGGCGGAAATAGTGAGACTGCCTTCCTCTCCATCTCCCCCCCAGTTTCTAGATATTCTCATTGGCTCCACCGACATGATTCTGCATCAAGGTTTTGGAAAGCCTCCAACTGTTCTATATATAATTTAAAGTTTAGCTGTTAGATGCAGAGCAGAATTATTTTTAAATTTGCACAAGGGCACTGAAAGACAACGGGCCCCAGGAAGCAGGGGCGGTGGCTGCATTCCCTAGGTTAGCAGATGATTGAGCGTTGATGCGTGGACTTTCCAAATTCTAGGAAGGAGGAGAGGAACATGGGGCATGCAGAAAAGGCAAGGCCATGTGGTGTGGTTGCAGATTAGCTCGGAGCTAGCTGGACAGCTGGAAGGGAAGGAAATTGCCAAGAGGAGGGGCAGAGTTATAGCCTGCAGGCCGTTAGGACCAGGACCGTTCCTCCAGCAGCCCTGAAGAAAACAAATCCTGCCAGCAACCTGGGAGTGTGTGCAGAGGGGAGCCTTCAGATGAGCCTTCAGACCCTGGCCCACACCTGGCTGCAGCCTGGGCAGGCTATGGGCAGGGGCCAGGGAAGCCCGCCTGAATTCCTGACCACGGGACAATACTTCCTGGGATGTAAGTGTGTGCTGCCATGAGCCACAGAAGTTTGGGGTGATTTTTAGGCAGCAACAGAGAACTAGTGCACATGTCCTATCCTGCCAGAGGTAAGCGATGCAGTCAGGAGGGCATGCAGTTGTCCGCTTTGGTATCAGTTTCTCTTCCAAGGCCAAAGTTAAACAAACAAACACCCCACAAAAACCATCCAGTTGAAGGGTTTGAAGAACTATTAAAATATACGTATTGCAAGAGAGTAAGAAAGGAGAGGGCGCCGTCTCTCCATATTAGCTGGCGGTCTCTGTACATGGTACTCTGATACTCGGAACAACGGGTCAGAGTTCCAGGCGGCAGCTGGGGGAGAGCGACGGGTGACTCCCCTGAGCCACAACTCTGCGTACATAGACCTTAGCTTTTGCAAAACAGACAGAACCTTGGGCGTCTGAAGACAATTAACCTTACTGTTTTTAATTAACTATCACATATTTATTCCAAAACAATACTTGTTCATTGCAGGATAAGAGAATACACAGAATAAGCAAAAGAGAGAGAATAGAGATATCTAGATCTGTTTGTTATACATATACACGCACATGCTGGGGCCATGGTACATGCACATGCCGGGGCTCACGGTATTTGCCTCTTACAGATACAACCCGGACATATTTCCATGTCAATAAATGTTTATGCTCATACTAGTAACAACAATTGAAAACTATTCCAGTATATATTTTTACCATAATTTACTTAACCTATTGTCATGTTTGGACTCCATTTATATCCATTGTTTTCTTTTTCTTTTTTTTAAGATTTTATTTATTTATTGACAGAGAGACACAGCGAGAGAGGGAACACAAGCAGGGGGAGTGGGAGGGGGACAGGCAGGCCTCCAGCAGAGCAGAGAGCCCGATGTGGGGCTCAGTGTGGGGCTCGATGTGGAGCTCTATGTGGGGCTTGATCCCAGGACCCTGGGATCATGACCTGAGCCGAAGGCAGACACTTAACACCTGAGCCACCCAGGCGCCCCTATATCCATTGTTTTCTATATTACAGACAATTCAGTGACAAAAGGCCAATCTCTAACTTTACATTACAAAAATACCAATTGCATACAAGTTAAAGGGCTTTCAGCTAAGATAGAATTCAGGGTGCCCCAACATTTTAAAGTGTAGGATGCCCTAAGAAGGAGTGGGTGATTCTAGAGCACAAATCCTAGGCTGGGGGTGCGGGACCTCTGGGTGCAGCCTGGCTCCATTCCCCTGCCCTGGGAGAGTGAAGGGCACCCACCCCGGACTCCCAAAAGGCCCAGTGTTCCTTTCCAGCAGACCCTAAGCTGCTCGGGCTTAATCCATTTGAGCAGTCATTCTCAAGCTTTGCAATAATCAGAACACACAGGGAGCTTGTTAAAAATACATATTCCCTGGCGTCAGTGATTCTGGTGGGGCTGGGAAAAACCAGGCCAGGGCGATTCTGATGACCCTGGGGTTGAGGGATTCACCAATAATACTGACCAGGAGAAGTCAGACCTCCAGCTCTAAGGCGGGTATTTCTTTCTTTTACAATAATTTACAAATTTGTGATGCTCAGAGAGATGAGCTAGAGGATCAGGTGTAGCTGGGAGGAGGTAAGCACCTAAACGTGGATGTGGCCATCTTTTGGCAGGGGTGGTCCTATGTAGATAGCTTGTTTGTGTTGCTATTACACACTTCTCTGGGTTAACTCAAGTCTCTCCTTGAGCTTTTTTCCCCTCTTGTAGCCACTGGATAAACATTTATTGGCCTCTCTGTAGGCTGAGGCCTGGTGCCATGCAACCGTGAACCGGCGATGGGGCGTTTCTGAAACGCTTTTCTTGGGGTAATCTGCACTCCAAGCACAGTGCAGGCCCGAATCCGGAGCAGGTAGCTGGCATTGAGCTGAGCTCTGTGAAAGGTCGGCGGGCCGTTCATCCTTCATGCGAGGATACTGGATACGAATGTTTTAGGTTTGGAGATTCCCAGCAGAGCCGTGGGAGTTTCTAGCTGACAACACACGTGCAAGGCAGTGTCCTTAGGGAAGAGTTTGCTGCACGTCCCCCCAACCCCAGGCCGCAGGTGAAACCTGGGGGAGCCGTAGAACAAGCTGGGGCGCCTTCGGCTCGGAGAGCCGCGCGGGGAGGAATCCCGTGGGGGGCGCCTCGGTTGGGGTCTGCTTCCCTAGTAGCCGCTGGCCCCGCGCCCCCACCGGCGGCGCTCGCTCCCACGCTGCGATCCCGCCACCTGCTGCGCTCTCTCCACCCGCCGCGCCCCTACCCCTAGTGCTCTCTCCTACCTGCAAAGCTCTCACCCACCTGTGGTGCTTTTCCTACCCAGCGCCCAGGACCTTTGCCCTCTGCGAGGCTCCTCCCACCGGGATACAGCCGCCACCTGCGATGCAGCCCGGCCCTCGCAATGCTCCCACAATTGCTGCGATCCCGCCCATCTAAGATGCTCCGCCCACCTGCCATGCTTTTCTTTCCCCCAGGGGTGCTCCCCAGCGGACCTTGATCCTTCTCCCACCGGCGACGCACCCTCCACCTGCCGCCCGGCCCCTCTGAGACCATCCGCTGCCCCGCCCCCACCTGTGGCGCTCCCCTTCTGCGTTACTCCCGCCCACGTTCGGCGCTGGGTCGGCCCGCTCCCCTCGTACCTCCCCCCAACCTGCGGCGCTCCCCCACCCTGAATGCACCACCACCCGCCGAGCTCCGCGACTGGCCTGAGGCGCGCCCCCGCCCCGCGGGTCCCGCCGGCCCGCCCCCGGCGCCCAGGAGCCCGCCCTTGGCCGCTCATTGGCGCGCGCCGAGCGGGCGGGGCGGACGGTTCTGAGTCGCAGTGGCGCGGGAGGGGGCACTGCCTGCTGAGCACCCGCCCCAGCACAGTCTCGGCCTGCTCGCCATGGACGACGAAGATGTCGCCAACCGCAAGGTCTCCTTCCGAAAGTGCCTGGAGCACCTCTCCGGGGCCGGCAAGGCCATCGGAGTGCTGACCAGCGGCGGGGATGCCCAAGGTGCGCGACCGCCTGACCGGGCCGGGGGATAAGTGATGGGAGGAGGGACCGGGAAGAGGGGATGGGGTACGCGGGGCAAGCGGGGACAAGCGATGGGAGCCCCAGGAAGAAGCGAGGAGGAGGGGGTCCTGCGGATCAGAGAAGGGTGGGGGAGAAACTCCGGCTCCCGGGAACCGCAGGGGTACCTTCCGGGGCAGGAGTGGGCGGTGCAGCCTCAGAAGGAGTCGCTGCGGGGCTGGGGGCAGGAGGAGGGAAGAATATGGCCTTAGGATCCTTTATCGGGAAGATCAATTAATTTTCCCCCTCCACGTTTAGTTTTTAAATTGAGACTGGCGGTGGGGTCTCCTGGACGGCCCTCGGAGGTCATTTCTCGTCCGAGTCGTAGGGTGGGGCCGACACCCCTGGGAAGCTTAGGAGTCGCGCGGCCACCTGGATGCCGCGGCCCCTAACCCCCCCCGCCCCCCGCCCCCACCGGGTGGAAACGGATCCCCGCCGCGCGTCCTGCGGATTCGCGTCCCCCGCGCGGCGCGGGCGGGGTCCCGGCTGTTGCCCGGTGGGGCGCGGCGGGGGGCGCGAGAGGACCCCGCCCGGGACGCCCACCGCCCAGTTTCCGCTGGAGGCTTTCCACCGCTCTCCTGACAAAACCGAAAATTGAAATGGGTCACAAGGCCCGCCCCGCCAGCCTCCTCTGGCTGGTAAGGACCAGGAAGCCGGGACTCCGGGACGTCACCAGCACCCGGGGCGCGCACTCCAGCCCTCCTCCCCCCACCATGTGGAGGCAGATTTGGGGGGAGAAGGGGACCCAAGCCCAGGGCCCGCGGATACCTAAAGAGTATTTAAATTTAAAGGAGGGGGTGACATGGCCACGCCCGGGCCCCTGGCGCTGGGTGCACGTGGGGCCACAGGGATTTCCAAACGGTGGGGTTTCCTGATCCAGGTAAATCCCTGGATGGGGCGAGCCGCCCGCTAGAAAGTGGATCGCCGCTTTGCGGGCGGTTGCGTCCCTGGAGCCTAAGACCGCCCAGGCTGGAGACGCCTCCCCAAGCTGGGTTTGGTTTTTCTTTCTTCCTCTTTCTCCTACCCCTGGTGCCTGATTTTCCCAGATTTCCAGGACACACCAGGTGGAGGGATGCTCAGGTGCTGCGCCGGGCGCCCTCGCCTGCTGCCCACCGCCTGCCGTGCTCCTGACCTTGCCTTCGCCCTTGAGCCGGGCGGGGCTGGCGCGGGGGCGGCAGGTTGGGGCGCTGTGGCCGCAGCCCCGCCCGCCGCGCGTCTACGTGATGCCCGGCCAGTCGCCGCCCGCGCGCCCTGTGCCCTTGACCCTAGGCATCAGGCACCGGCAGCCGGCGCGCGGCGCGCAGTAGGTGAGGGGATGGCGCTCCCGCGCGGGCAGCGTCCCGGGAGCGTGAGTCCCCGGCGAGACCCGCCTCGTCCTGTTGTGGGCGGGACCGCGGGGCCAGTCACCGCCCCCACTGCACGGGCCTCCCTTGTGTTCACGAGGGAAGCCGGGCTGTTCTGTCTGATCTGGTATTCTAGTAAAGTGAGCCCCGATGTAAACATTCCGGAGAAGGAAAAGGTGATAGAGCCAAGGCCCGGATTGGGGAAATGCAGTGTGATACAGAGGATATCGCCTGCGTGACGTAAATGAACACCCAGAGGTTTGCCACGTGGAGCCCTGGTGGGGTCGCGGTGGGGCTAAGAGTGGCTTCCTACCACATGGCATAAAGAGCACGTGGGTCTGGAGACCTGCCCTAGCACGAATTAGGAAGCATAATCGGGGCCCTGCAAGGGAATACAACGTTGGCACAGGCAGAGGAACTAGTCTCTAAAACCACCAGGCTTCAAGGCCAGAGTTTCAAGGTTATTTGACAATTAAGGTGCTGTGTCTGTTGAAAAAAAAAAAAAGCATTTATGGGTCCACTCTTTGGAATCCCTGTCCAAGAGTTTGCTCAGCTACCTGGTAGATGACCTGCAGGCACTGGGGACCGCGGTGCAATACACAGAACTTAGCCTGGCTCAGCCACTTGTGAGTAGTTCCAATAGGGGCCAGGAAGTCCACGTGTCTTCTGCTCAGTGGAACAGGGTACTCTGAGAACCCAGATTACATGAGAAGCCTGCTTGGTTGGTGTCAGGGTCTCGGGAAATGCCCGATGCTCTCAGCTGACACCTCTGGGCTGGCCCAGGGAGAGAGTCTGTGCTCCCCGCATTTCACCCCAGGCAGAAGGGAGGTTTCCTTGGACTTCATGCAAAGCACGGTCTCCTGCTTTTATGCTGCTCTGACCTGATGGAGCATCTGAATGCATTTCCTTCTGAGAAAGCTCATCTGGACATAAGCGCAGAGGGGCTGGTCTCAGCAGCAACACGTTTACAGACCCTTAGACAAGGTCATTCCTAGAGATACTGTCTAAGACGCTCGGTTCTTTTGCCATTTTATCCTGACTCCAAATTCTGTCAGTACTTGATTTTCCCGGCGATAGGGAGATTTTTGCTCCTTGCTAAAGATCCAGGGGAGCATATGCAAGTCTTAATGTCAGGTTTTCCAATCAGATGTGAAATTTTGGTCAAATTCCAACTGGGGGGTGGGGGGAGCATAGCTACTATTTATTGGGCACGTTTTGTGTCCCTGGAGCTTTACGGTTATCTCCAGGCCTGATCACATTGCTCCCAGGTATGTATGTCTTCGTTTTGGAGGTGGGAGGAAGACCTACGGAGACGTAAGGGACCTGGTTGGGGTTACACAGCTCGTATGTGGCATCTGGCAGGATTTAAACCAGCTTCTGTCAGATTTCAGTCCCAGGGACTTCCCAGGAGGCCATGCTCTTCGGGGGCCTTGTAAAGTGAAAGTCCAAGTTTTAAAGATTTTATTTATGTGTGCATGTACTTACTTATTACAGAGAGAGAGAGAGAGAGAGAGAGAGGGGGGTGGGGCGGAGGGGGAGAGGGAATCCCAAGCCGACTCCCTGCTGAGGGCAGAGTCTGGCCCGTGGCTCCATCTCAGGACCCTGAGATCATGACCTGAGCCAATATCAAGAGTTGGATGCTTAACCCACTGAGCCACTCAGGTACGTCCAGATGATTTTTAAACACCTTTGGTAGTGGAGCAGAAAGCACCTTTTTACAGGGATAGCACTAGGTCAGCCAAAGCCAGAGTGATGAAACACTTTGTTTTCCACTCAAATGTAGTAATTATTAAAAAGCAAAAGAAAATCCTGTTTCTACTGCCCCAGCCCTGCCCACTACGGAAGGCTATTTCTAGGGCTACTTATTTTTCTCATTCTTTGGGTTCCTTCTGCTGTCACAAGGAATGTCTGCAAGTTAAAACTGATTTTCCACCTTGCTGGACAGACAGCCTTTCCATGACTAAGTAGCCACCCTCGAGCAAGATTGTGTCATCCACCAAAAATGATTCATGGGCATAGACACAGTCTGTGGGATCAGCCCAGTGCAGATGAGAAGGTGGAGAAATTGAGTGCCCCCTGTGGGCAGCGTGGCCGTAAAGTCCTCTTTTTGCCTCAGGCGAAGCAAACACGAATACAGTATCCAGAGAATTCACATAAATTGAGTCTGTGTCAGTCTTTAAAAGAACAGCAAGTCACTAATGTTTGCTGGTGGCGGGCGCTACGCTCGTGTGCGCTAACTTGTTCTTGGTTCACGCGGGAGCGAGCGAGCTTTGTGAGGAACAGGCTTCCTTGAGTTCTAAGTGGTAGACGGGGCCGGGCCCTGTGGCTGCAGAGAGCATGAGAGGTGGTCCAGCACAGGACGCGGTACGAGGCAGGCTCTCGGATGTTTGCTGGATGGCTCCCCCTGAATTCCTGTATGGCCCTGTGGGCCACTTCCTTTCTTAAATGCCGGGTGACTGCAGTTCTGGCTCCTTCCTTCTCTCACTGAGTCATTTCAGTGACTTGAACCTTCACTAATCAGAAGCACTCTTCTATCTGCAGAGCAGGATCTGGGAATGGCTAATGCCTCAAAGCTTGGAACTTTATAGCAGTCGGCAGAAATGTGGGGCAGTAGTGACTGGAGCCCAGCGTGGGGCGGTTCGGCCATTGATCACGTACTGCTTGAACACGGCACTGGGGCCCTGCTTGTGCGGGTTCCTTCTGTGCTCATCCGGAGCTGTGCTGGCTGCAGAGCCCAGGTCGGTGCAGAGGGAAACAGGGGCTGGAACTCTGTACACATACGTTCTAGAGTGGGGGGATTTTTTTCCATGTAAAATTTAATAATTAATTTAGCAAGCACGGTTGCGTCTTGGAGGCGTGTGTTAAAACTACGGCGCTCACCCCCGTGAGTGCCGTGGGCAGTCAGCCGCTGCACCCTCTTCTGTAATGCACACACTCTGCGTGGCACCCCAGGCGACTCTTAGAAGCCAGACGCTTTGTCATCTTTCAGAAAAACTCCATCCTGCCTTGGGGGGAACAAACAGCTTTGGTTCAGAACTGAAACCTTTCATCAGGGAGAACTGGGGCCCGTGGGACACGCTCCACCAACCTGATGGACCGTCAGAAGCAATCACCATTAGAAGCAATCACCGTTAGAAGCCTGGAGATGGGCCAGCAACGTGGTAAAGGCAGACGATGGGACACCAAACTGTAGGCCTAGTGCGGTTGTAACTAGGTTGGCAAGGTGTATTTGGATAAAGAACAGGCAGTCCTATGTTGAGAAAACACGGTGCTCCCTTTTTATTTGCTGCAGCGCCCCTGCAAGGAAGCCCCCGTGCCCTCCCACTGCCCCTTCGTCCCCTGCGTCTTCGCCACTGTATACCTAGCATGCTGGGAATTACAGTAATTGTGCCTGTCAGGACAAGAAGCAGCAAAGCGTGTGGCAGAGCAGAGCCTCGAGGGTCAAGAGACTGATTAATAGGTCCTGGTTCCTGGTTCTGCGCTCTGCTAGCGGAGGGCAGGGCCTCCATTTTTCGTTTGCAAAATGAAGGACACAGAGTCACTGCCCCGCTGTCCTCTCCCCTCCTCCCTTCAGTGGAAGGAGGAGCACAGGGCAGGGCG